GGTTGAAGCCGGCGGTGGTCACCTTGAAGCCGTAGTCACTCTCGGAATAGTCATAGTATGAGTGGACGCAGCGAGTTACTGGCTGGTATGGGTTCTCGATGACGTGGGTCTGGTACCATCGCCCAGCATACTGCAATACAGAAAATAATGTACAGAATTAAGAAATAGAAAAACAGACATCTTATACATAATGAACATTCTTGATTTTATGTATAATTTTAATATGAACTTCCACTAACCTTTCTGAGGTCGAAGTTATCCTGATTAGCAACTGAAGCACATTTTCCAGGTTTGAGAAAACTAGGAATTCCCTCGGCGGCAACACACGCCAGGAGGGCGGCACTGATGACTACAGTATACATGATGAAAGTTACGCACACACTGAGCTAGTAACACTCGTCTCTTTGCTTATATAGGTAGCTTCATGTATAAAAAAAGTGGGAGGCGCTCTGTCCCTTTACCCATGCGGAAGAGTTAGGTGTTTTCATTTCTTTTAGTTTTCTTTGAGTTACTTCTTTTTTTCTTGTAGATAAGAACAGCATCTTTGCGCACTGATATTTATTACTAAATAAATATGAGAGAAAAAAATATGGTTTGGTATAAGCGAAAGTAGGTAATACAAACTGGTACTAGGAGGGTTCCAACAATTCTCTTCTGCCAATAACCGAGGAGCTGGAATGACCCCTGATAGAGCGGGTATATAAATGAGAGGTGAGAGGGATCCAGCCAGATCCTACCCCAACCTGATAACATGCAGTCGCTGTCCATCCTGCTGGTCCTTGTGGCCGCCGTCGCTGCTGACAAGATCCCAGACTTTGTGGTCCCAGGCCAGTGTCCTGCTATTGACGAGAATAAGCTGTGGTCCGAGCAAGTCCCAAACCACGCTAATGTAAGTTCTGTAATTAACCTTTCCCTGTGGTATTGTCAGGAATCTTGGGGGCATGAAATAACCGCCCATTTGCAAGATGTTTCCATCTACTTGCGCAAGCTAAAGAAAATATTATTGACAGATTGAACATTAAAATGGTATAAAATACCGACAGGTTGTTAGGTAAGACACATATGCAACAGTTAGGTATCTTTATTATGAAACGTTTCGCCTACACAGTAGGCTTCTTAAGTCGAGTACAGTATCTTCTGCTTCTATCAACTTTTCTGTACTCGACTGAAGAAGCCTACTGTGTAGGCGAAACGTTTCATAATAAAGATACCTAACTGTTGCATATGTGTCTTACCTAACATTATTGACAGAGATGAAAGCTAAGCAGATTTCAAATAATGCATCAGATTTACTAAGTATTTGCATTCATCAAAATATATGATGGAATCATGCGAGTCGAAGCCATGGACAGCGTTCAGAACACCAACAACAATATGTGAAAAATTTGCATAAAGACAAAACATAAGACGAAAATTCGTGATCAGCAAAATACGAAACGTACACAAAACTTTGAACATAATTTAATAAGCCTACGAGAGCCTTTTCATTCCAACCCCTTTCAGTGAAATTTTTCCTAAAACAATGTCCTAAATGTTTCAGACGTTTCTATATTTTACATTTTGTCGTTGTTGAGGTATCTAGTGTTCATATTGTATCTAGGGAGCTTCTATAATTCATATTATTTGCAAGATATTTTTCTTTTATCAAGAACACTTTAAAGTGTAATAAAGTTGGTAGAATTACCGACAATATGTAAAGTAAAAGGACACAAGTGCAACTAATGTGACATTTTCTTGTGGCAACGTTTCGCTCTCCAGGAGCTTTATCAATCCATTACATAAGAACATAAGAACATAAGAAATGAGGAACACTGCAGCAGGCCTGTTGGCCCATACTAGGCAGGTCCTTTACAATTCATCCCACTAACAAAACATTTGCCCAACCCAATTTTCAATGCCACCCAAGAAACAAGTTCCGATGTGCAAGTCCCTCTCAAATCCAACCCCTCCCACTCATGTACTTATCCAACCTAAATTTGAAACTACCCAATGTCCTAGCCTCAATAACCCAACTAGGTAGACTGTTCCACTCATCAACTACCCTATTTCCAAACCAATACTTTCCTATGTCCTTTCTAAATCTAAACTTATCTAATTTAAATCCATTACTGCGGGTTCTCTCTTGGAGAGATATCCTTAAGACCTTGTTAATATCCCCTTTATTAATACCTATCTTCCACTTATACACTTCGATCAGGTCTCCCCTCATTCTTCGTCTAACAAGTGAATGTAACTTAAGAGTCTTCAATCTTTCTTCATAAGGAAGATTTCTAATGCTATGTATTAATTTAGTCATCCTACGCTGAATGTTTTTTAACGAATTTATGTCCATTCTGTAATATGGAGACCAGAATTGAGCTGCATAATCTAGGTGAGGCCTTACTAATGATGTATAAAGCTGCAGTATGACCTCTGGACTTCTGTTGCTTACACTTCTTGATATAAATCCCAGTAATCTATTTGCCTTATTACGTACGCTTAGGCATTGCTGTCTTGGTTTAAGGTTGCTGCTTACCATAACCCCCAAGTCCTTTTCGCAATCTGTATGGCTAAGTTCTACATTATTTAACTTATAAGTGCTAGGGTTATGGACACTCCCGAGCTTCAGAACCTTGCATTTATCTACATTGAACTGCATCTGCCACTTTTCTGACCAAGAGTAGAGTTTGTCTAAATCCTCCTGAAGTTCCCTAACATCTACGTTTGAATCAATTATCCTACCTATCTTCGTGTCGTCGGCGAATTTGCTCATATCACTAGCAATTCCTTCATCAAGATCATTGATATATATTATAAACAACAACGGGCCCAAGACTGATCCCTGTGGAACGCCACTTGTTACAGATCCCCACTCGGATTTAACCCCATTTATGGACACTCTCTGCTTCCTGTCTGTGAGCCATGACTCGATCCACGAGAGCACCCTTCCCCCAATGCCATGAGCTGCTACTTTCTTCAACAGTCTTTGGTGCGGAACTCTATCAAATGCCTTACTAAAATCTAAGTAAACAATATCAAATTCTTTATCGTGGTCAACAGCCTCAAAAGCTTTACTGAAGAAAGTTAATAAATTAGTTAGACAAGACCGGCCTCTTGTGAATCCATGCTGAGTATCATTAATCAAGCTATGCTTATCGAGATGGCTTCTTATAATCTCAGCTATAATTGACTCTAGTAATTTGCCTACAATTGAGGTCAGGCTTATTGGGCGGTAATTTGACGGTAACGACTTGTCCCCTGTTTTGAAAATAGGAATTACATTAGCCATCTTCCACATATCAGACACTACACCTGTTTGAAGAGATAAATTATTAACAAGGGATTCATTGTTTGCCAGAACTAAGTCAAGCAGGTTATTTCCCCTTGTAGGTTCTGTCACAAACTGCTTCAAAAAACAATCCTGAACTACTTCTAAGAAATCGTATGATTCTAAATTCCCAGTCAAGAAATTCCAATCAATATGACTAAAGTTAAAGTCTCCTAGAATTACTACATTATCGTGCCTTGTGGCCCTAACAATTTCCTCCCATAGTAGTCTCCCCTGGTCCCTATCTAAATTTGGGGGACGGTATATCACACCAAAAATTAACTTTTCATGCCCCTCTGAAAATTCTATCCAAACAGACTCTGTATGTGTTACTTCAGACTTAATACCCGCTTTTATGCAACAGTTCAAGCGATCTCGGACACACAGTGCCACCCCACCCCCCCTCCCGATACTTCTATCTACTTGGAACAATTTAAAACCCTGAATGTGACATTCTGCAGGCATGTCCCGACTTTTTGAATTAAACCACGTCTCAGTAATGGCAAATACATCTATGTTACCTGCACTAGCAACTAGTCTCAACTCGTCCATCTTACTCCTAGCACTGCGACTACTTGTGTAATAAATACTTAAAGACCCTCCTCTCTCTTTACCCTTCCTGCTCCTTTCTGTTATTCCACTAAACCTATTACTGTCCTTGTCAATTAGTGCCACTGGCCCTCCAATATCCACCTCATTTTGCCTATTACTAGTTCTCCTAGTACTCACACCACTTCCCCGAGACTTCACAGTTTTCCCGCAAAAACCCATACCACTAACTATTCCTAGTTTAAAGACCTAACAGCTCCCTCCACTGCGTTGGCCAGTGCTCCCACCCCACACCTAGATAAGTGAACCCCATCCCTGGCATACATGTCATTTCTGCCATAGAAGAGGTCTAGGAGAGACTATGTGATGGCAGTAAACCCTGCCATCATATAGTCTCTCCTGTTATACTACACAAAGCACATTACAGAGAGTGAACACTGAAACAAGCTGCCTCTTACCACTCTATATTTGTCCAAACTATTTTTATGTTACCCAAGTAATAGCTTTTATATCCTTTTACTCATGTACGAATTAATTGGTCTACCATATTGTATTACTTTTGTCACTACTGCTACTACTACTACTACCACCACCACTAGTGAACATCGAAATGGTACCTCACTAGTATTGCACCTAACTCTGAGCCTTTATATACCCTCTGTGTCCATGTATTGTTTGTAATGGCTTGATAAAGCTCCTGGAGAGCGAAACGTTGCCACAATAAAATGTCACATTAGTTGCACTTGTGTCCTTTTACTTTACAACACTTTAAAGGTTTTTTTTTTAAGGCACAGAGAACATAGGTTCTCTGTGCGCTTATTTTATATAGAAGAAATAATGTGCATTAATAATGTTAATTTTTCTTGCATTGCAGTATGCTGGTGTATGGTACGAGTTTGCACTTACTAACAACCCATATCAACTGATCAACAAATGTGTCCGCAACGAATATACCTTCGGTAAGTTTTCTGACCAGGAATCTTAAACGGTGTTTAGGCACAAATTTGCCTCAACATGAATCTGTAGGAAGTTATTTTCGAGTAATGATAACGATAATTTATTTTAACATATTCCTGTCTTTCAGATGGAAAACAGTTTGATGTTGCGTCGACTGGTGTCACTGCTGACGGCAGTTTGTTGAAGCGCAGCGGTCAGGTCTACGCTAACCCCCTGGGTGAACCTCACCTCTCCATTGACTTTGAAAACTGTAAGTTGCCGCAGATTCTTGTAACTTTACCATGACAAAAAATTGTTTTAAAATGCCTCGTGATATGTGATATACAGTGTATAATGCTATGTAATGTCCGTGTAGATATATATATATATATATACTACTAGGCCAGCGATTCTACAAGAACCACGCACACAGCACGGAGCTATGTGTTTTGCCTTGGTTCGAGGACACTCGTGGCAGTGGTATCGCAAAACACAGAGCTCCGTGTTGTGTGCTTGGTTCTTGTAGGATCGCTGGCCTAGTGGTACATTGTGCTGTCTCTGGATTCGGCACAAGGTTCGTAAATAATTTAAAATCACTTGTTTCGTGATTTCATTGCTATATATATATTATATATATATATATATATATATATATATATATATATATATATATATATATATATATATATATATATATATATATATATATATATATATATTATATTTATTTATTTATTTATTTATTTTTTTAAATGTGTGTGTGTAAAATTTATCTTACAAGATATAAGTATTTATGATGTTATTAATTCAACAATTTTCTTGCAGCGTTCGCAGCTCCCTACGTTATCCTGGACACTGACTACACTAACTTCGCCTGTGTATATTCCTGCATCAGCTACAACTTTGATTACCACTCAGACTTTGCTTTCATCTTCACTCGCTCCCCAAGTCTGGCAGACAAGTTCGTGAAGCGGTGTGAAGCTGCCTTCAGGAGCATCAATGTTTACACTTCCCGCTTCACCAAGACCGTTCAAGGATCCTCCTGTAATTATGATGACCAGAAAACTCTTTGAATGATTTTATCCAGCGAAATTTGACCTTTATGTCTAATTTTCATGTCTTAGAGGCCAAGAAATCATGATCATATATATGTGAAAAATGTTTGGAAGGACTTTTCTTTAATGTGCATAAAGTTACTATTATTTTTGTGTTCGATAGCGCATTTGTATATGTTGTACATACAATATATATACATATAAATACTGAATTTTGCTTCCACTGAATCCTTCGAAAATTTAATATTCATATTAATTCTTTATATATCACATAAGTTTCTGAATATGAGGAGATATTTTCTGCGAATACTTTACCACTGATATAAAAAAAATTCATATAAAGAATGGTTTGCAATTAGCACAGAAATTGTGATATAAATGGCATGTTGCTTAAAATCCTTGGTTATACAGAACATCTATTGCAGTCTTAAAGTTATAACTGTTTATATTACACGGGTGGGCAAGTTCTTATAAAATGTTTCTAGTTTATATTACACGGATGAGTAAGTTCTTCGATAAGATGAGCCACATGTGATACTTTTCATACATTTTTGAATGTTCAAGAGCCACAGAAAATATTTTAAAATTGGATTTATAAGTAATAAAAATACAGAAGACAGAATACGTTTAATCTCTGCTCGTTGAAGACTTTGATTAAGTCTTAATTTTTGCAGTTAATAGTTTAAAATCTGGCTGGTAGGATGTCGAAGCTGTTCTAAGAAGCTCAGTTTGGTGGCTCATAAATGTCATTCCTGAGAAGAGAGATTCACAGCAGTAAGTTGTCCCAAAAATTGAGAGTAGTTGGAAGCCAGTTTTCTGAAGACTGGGATACGTTGCTTCTGGGATTTATTTCCAAAATTCAGTTAGATGTGAGCTTTTATGTCCTAGCTTCAAACCCACATCTTCCTGCAGCTCGATAAGCTTTGTTGCTATTGAAGCAACAAAGGCAAAAGGTGCAACTACAGGACATCCATCCTTGATGACATCAGTCACAAAAGGTACAACAGGACATCCATCCTTGATGACATCAGTCACTAAAGGTACAACAGGACACCCATCACTGATGACATCAGTCACTAAAGGATTCGCATAAAATTAAATAAAAATGGCTTTACATATTTTTTGTTTTCTCAAACCTGTTTTATAAAGTGTTTCTAGGTTTTCTCCGTATTGTTCCAATTTCCTGTCTTTAATTTCAGCCTCAGGAAAAGTAGTTATTCTTAATTTAGAAAGTTGGGAAAGTGGTCAAATTTCTTTGTTGTCAGATCTCTTTGAAAAAACTTTAAGCTGAGTACTGAAAACTGATTGAGGAAGTTCTGTAATAACTTGTTCCATCCTTGAAGGGCCAGATATAAATACTGGTGTGAATTACATCTGTAAAGGACATCAGATCCTGTACCCATTCGTGATCTTCTAGTTATTGGTATTTCTTTTTTCTTTTCTCTCAATAACTAGTTAAAAAAAAAAGGAGACAAAATTATTCTAAAGATTGGTATTTGAGAACTATATTACACTACAGTAGAATGAAAGGTCACCTGGCTTTTCTTCAAGCTTCAGCTCCTTAATATTAAGCAGACTCTTGGATGTCATACTGCCAGGTTCCTGCTCGCTTATCAATATCCCTGGCAGGTTAAATCACCAACACCTGATGATGTAGACCAAACTTAAAAGTATTTTTTCCAAAGTGGAAAAGTACCAACCATTCTGGAAAAATTCCTGACTTTGCCCACCGTAAATAACGCATATCCACTTATTTTTTTCGAGGATACCTTGCTAAAATATAGAGTATTTTTTTGCGTGTGTGTCCTAATTCATGTCTGCATAAATAACGAATTACGATTGTAACCAGATATAAACACGTAAATAGTTCATTACCACTAACTTGTTTAGTTATCAGAACGTTACTGCCCAATCCCTGGACCCATTATGTGCCTCTGTAATATTTTGACTACCGCCCACACCATGGGTATGGTGTGCATAATAAATTTAGATATAAAACTAAGTGACACACCTCACTTCCTTCGTATATATGCTGTTATTTTCGGCTCTTGTATACTAGAAGTGATCAAGGTCTTAGGACCTCTGTTTTCTAATAATATGTTCTGTTTCCTGTCGTGTATTTTTAAACCAGTTTGTTGTTATCAATTATCAAGGTTAATACCACATTCTTATGTACACAAGACATCAGGAGGTCTGGTGTACCAAAGATTTCTGCTCAGAAATTCAACTCAGTGACAATGTTTGTGTCACAGGAGAGAAAGAAACGCATGAAAGATTCGTTTTATTGTAAATACATTTCAAACATCATAATACCACAATTTATATATATATTGATACAAACTATTTACATACAGATACAAACAGAATCTTGCATTTTCCCTTCGAAAAGTCTCCATAAATCACTCTAGACACTAAAGATCACAAGTACTGAGTGTTGAAGAATCAGCTGCGATCCATCATTATGCACAGGTTGGACATGTGTTCATCATTCTTGGTAAAATGATAGAATACATGATTAGTGGACTGGTCTCCATAAAAGTATGATGAAATAATGCAGAAACTAAGCTCTGTAGGTACACTCAGCCGTCTGGGAGACAGGTACGAACTTGGAGAACTCAACACCGTTCTTGTTGAAGACAGCGGCACACTTCTCGGCAGCAGGTCCTGAGGTCTGGGGAGTACGAGAGAACACGAAGCCGAACTCTGCTTTGTAGTTATCGGTGCTGACGCAGGAGTAGACGCAGGAGTAAGTTTCGTAGTCAGTAGCGATGACTTCGTAGGGTGAAGCAAACACTGTCGAGAAATGTTGCAAATTTCAGTAAAAAAATATAAGTAGACAGTCTGTAAACAACAATCTCCCAAGAAGGTATTATGTTCTTTAAAATGAAAATAAGAAACCTGTATGACATTTTTTTTTCACTCTGTAAAGATTGCTGAAACTTTCTGTCTCGTAAACATTTAAGATATCAGGCGAATTATATTTAGTTCTACTTATATTCCTTATTCGCTTGATCTTTCTATATTTCTCATTAGTTCTTAATTTTGCAAAATATTAAGAACTAGTGTATGATTGCTCCTTTTCATGCAACAAAATTACTGACAAAAACAAAATGAAATAGCCGAAAAGTAAATTCAGAAGTTGAAGTTGGGTTTTTAAATATTTAAGGACTTGTCAAATAAACCAGGAAGAGACTTATTGTTATTGAATGAATGAAAGCTAAAAGTTTTAACAGTGAGTAACAAACAAAAAAAAATCCCAGAGAGTATTCATGGGAAGGTAAAAGACATTTGAATGAACAATTGGTTAAAATCTAGAACTGTATGTTTTAGAAATTTACAAAAGAATTAGGTAATATCCGTATACTTGGGGTTGAAAGGAAAGTAGATGAAGATCTAAAATGTTTAATATGAAGAGTGAGCAAATTTTGAGGTGTCTTATACAAATGGGATTAAGTAACCTATATCTGAATTTTGCAAAGGAAGACGTTAGGGAATAACAAATTCTAAAGTTAAAATGAAAGTTAATTTATTAAACAAGTGGAAAGTTATAGAGTAGAAAATTACAAGATTCACTGTTGACTAAGATGAGACAGAGTGAAAAGAATGATGTTAAACAGATGTTTTGATGATTCGGGAAGACAGTAGTCAGCGTAGGCGGCAGATGTCCAGTGTTACGGGAATGTTAGTAACAGGAGGAAGTCGCGTTTTGTGGGTGTGAAAATTATTGTTACTGATAAAAATTATATGAAGGTTCATTCAGTGTATAAGAGATGTATGAAGACCGTTAGCTCATAGTGAAGAAAAACTGTAAACTATTGCAGTTTTGGAAAAAAATCAATGAGGTCAGAAAGTTATTATAGCAAATGCATTTGTCTATTACGAGTCACAGTGGTGAGGTGATGCATCAGGAGGTCAGGGCGCTGGGGATGGAGAGAAAATGTTGGTCATAGATGAAGTGAGAAGATAAATCTCATGTCTTTGGCAGTGAATAATGAGATCAACTAGAAAGTGAAGAGATAGAAGGTAGCAAAAAAAAAAAAGTAATTGGTTTAAAAGTGGGAAAAGGAACAAGGATTGCTAAGAATAGCGCCGAAATGCTGGAAGCAAGTCGAACTAAAGATTTGGAATTGTTAGCACATTTGTTTATAGTGTGTATATATAAAGGAGAGGTAACCAAGCGGGTTAATAGCAGTTAGCTGTTAAAAAAAGACCTGCATAAGTCAAATAAGAAAATATTTTTACCTAATACTTAGTCAACTTAAATATTCAGTATTTACCCGAGGGAGCATCAATGAGCATGTGAGCTGCTGGGAACTCCTTAGTTGGGTAGACCTTGAAGTCCACCTGAAGGTACTCGTCGCTGGGGTTGAAGCCGGCGGTGGTCACCTTGAAGCCGTAGTCACTCTCGGAATAGTCATAGTATGAGTGGACGCAGCGAGTTACTGGCTGATATGGGTTCTCGATGACGTGGGTCTGGTACCATCGCCCAGCATACTGCAATAAGGAGAATAATGTACACACACACACACACACACACACATATTTATATATATATTATTTATATATATATATATTATATATATATTATATATATATATATATAATATATATATATATATATATATATATAATATATATTTTATATATATTATATATATATATATATATATATATATTATATATATATAAAATAATATATATATATATATATATTATATATAATGTCGTGCGAATAGGCAGAACTTGCGATCTTGGCTTAAATAGCAACGCTCATTTTGTCATATAGGACAAGCGAAAATTTGTGTATGCAATAATTTCGCAAAAATCATTCTGAACTTAACGAAAAAAATATAATTCACTGTGTTTGTTTAGTATTAAATTATTGTAAACAAATCTAAAGTATATTAGTTGGGTGGGTTTTAAATAAATTGTTCTTGTTATAAAAAGGTTAGGAAAGTTTTCTAAGATTTTCTGTAGCAAAATTAAAAAATTTTTACTTTATCATTGATGAAAAAAAATATCTTCAAACGTATAAGATTAAAATTTAGAAAGGACTTAATTTTAAAGGAGTTCTTGCTAATTGACCAGTTTTACATTTCGGCACGACATTATATAATATATATATATATATATATATAAATATATATATATATATATATATATATATATATATATATATATATATATATATATATATATATATATATATATATATATAATCCTCAGGTCAAGAAGGGAAACTGGTCAGTGGCTGGACAGCAGGGAAAAGAAGTTGACGATCAAGAATGACGAATGGAAAGGTAGAAACGATGAAGAAGAAAGAGACTTGCCGTGGAAAAACTGTTGTGGAAACATCCAATACATTCTCACTGCTACCCGACGAATGTGAGTCGACTACTGGAAACGTCACAGACGAAAGACATTAAGGAAGGTACGATATTGTTGTAGTTGGGGATAGCCAAGTTAGGTATATGGATAGGGCGTTCTGCTTGAAGGACAGGAGTAGGAGAACAGAGAGTTTACTTTCCTGGGGCTGGATGGAGATATTGTTAGCCGTCTGGATGACATCATGAGAGGTAATGGGAAGCATCCTATTATCTGTCTCAGTGCTGGAGGCAACGATGTTGGCAGACGTAGGAGTGAGGACCTGATTAGCAGGTATAGGTCAGCAATAGAAATAATAGAAGTAAGGGTGGGAACCCTCACTATGTGGTATTTTGCCAAGGAGGGGAGTTGGAAATGAATGGTTGTCCAGGGCAATTGGTGTCAATTGCTGGCTGGACAAATACTGTAAGGAAAATGCGGTAACATTCATTGACAACTGGGACCTCTTCTATGGCAGAGATGACATGTATGCTAGGGATGGGGTTCACTTATCTAGGTGTGGGGTGGGAGCACTGGCAACTGCAGTGGAGGGAGCAGTTAGGACTTTAAACTAGGAATAGTTAGTGGTATGGGTTTTGGCAGGAAAACAGTGAAGTCCCAGTGTAGTAATATTTCTAGGGGAAATAGTAATAATAAGAACGAGATAGATAGTAATAATAAGAACGAGATAGATATTGAAAAGCCAGGGACCTTGGGTGATAAGGACAGTAATAGGTTTAGTAGAAAAATAGAAATGAGCAGGAAGGGTAAAGAGAAAGGAGAGTCTTTCAATGTTTATTATGCTAATTGCCGTAGTGCTAGGAATAAGATGGACGAGTTGAGATTAGTTGCTAGTGTAGGTAACATTGATGTATTTGCCTTAACTGAGACGTGGTTTAATTCAAAAAGTCGGGACATGCCTGCGGAATGTCATATTCAGGGTTTATTAAATTGTTCAAAGAAGATAGAAGTATTGGGAGGGGGGGGGGGGGTGGCATTGTGTGTCGAGATGAAGTAACACATACAGAGTCTGTTTGGATAGAATTTTCAGAGTGGCATGAAAAACTGATTTAGGAGTGATTACCGTCCCCCAAACTTAGATAGGGACCAAGGGAAACTACTATGGGAGGAAATTGTTAAGGCCACAAGGCACGATAATGTAGTAATTTTCTAGGAGACTTTAACTTTAGTCATGTTGATTGGAATTTCTTGACTGGGAATTAGAATCATACGACTTCTTAGAAGTATTTCAGGATTGTTTTTTGAAGCAGTTTGTGACAGAACCTACAAGGGGAAATAACCTTCTTGACTTAGTTATGGCAAACAATGAATCCCTTGTTAATAATTTAGAAATTTCAGAGGAACTGGGTGCTAGCGACCACAAATCAATTACATTTAGCATTGAATGGAAGTACGATAGTAGCGATAACTCAGTAACAGTCCCAGATTTTCGCTTAGCAGATTACGATGGGCTTAGAGAACACTTATCATCTGTTGACTGGGGTAACGAAGAGAGCTATCAATATGACAATTTTCTGAACACTATACATGCTGCTCAAAGAGCGTTTATCCCATATAAAGAAATTAGATCAAATAGAAATGACCCAAAATGGAGGAATAATAGGCTGAAATATCTACTAGGGCATAAGAAAGGAATTTATAGGCGTATCAAAAGAGGTGAGGGTCATCTTATGAATCAGTATATTGACATTAAGAGGGACATTAAAAAGGGGATAAGAAAAGCTAAAAGGGACTATGAAATTAAAGTTGCTAGGGATTCTAAAATAACCCAAAAAAGTTTTTTCCAGGTCTATAGAACAAAAGTTAGAGATAAGATAGGTCCCCTTAAAAATAACTATGGGCACCTTACTGACAAAGAGAATGAAATGTGTTTGATTTTAAATAATTATTTTCTCTAAGTTTTTACACAGGAAGACACTAGCAATATTCCAGTAATTATTTTTTACAGTGGGCTAGAAGAAGATAAATTATGTAACATCACAGTCACTAGTGAGATGGTTGTGAAGCAGATAGACAGACTGAAGCAAAATAAGTCGCCGGGTCCTGATGAGGTTTTTTCAAGGGTTCTTAAAGAATGCAAAATGGAACTCTGTGAACCATTAACTAATATTTTTAATTTATCTCTTCAAACAGGTGTAGTGTCTGATATGTGGAAGATGGCTAATGTAACTCCTATTTTTAAAACAGGGGACAAGTCGTTACCGTCAAATTACCGCCCAATAAGCCTGACCTCAATTGTAGGCAAATTACTAGAGTCAATTATAGCTGAGACTATAAGAAGCCATCTCGATAAGCATAGCTTGATTAATGATACTCAGCATGGATTCACAAGAGGCCGGTCTTGTCTAACTAATTTATTAACTTTCTTCAGTAAAGCTTTTGAGGCTGTTGACCACAATAAAGAATTTGATATTATTTACTTAGATTTTAGTAAGGCTTTTGATAGAGTTCCGCACCATAGACTGTTAAAGAAAGTGGCAGCTCATGGCATTGGGGGAAAAGTGCTCTCGTGGATCGAGTCATGGCTCACTGACAGGAAGCAGAGAGTGTCCATAAATGGGGTTAAATCCGAGTGGGGATCTGTAACAAGTGGCGTTCCACAGGGATCAGTCTTGGGCCCGTTGTTTTTTATAATATATATCAATGATCTTGATGAGAGAATTACTAGTGATATGAGCAAATTCGCCGATGACACAAAGATAGGTAGGATAATTGATTCAAACGTAGATGTTATGGAACTTCAGGAGGATTTAAACAAACTCTATTCTTGGTCAGAAAAGTGGCAGATGCAGTTCAATGTAGATAAATGCAAGGTTCTGAAACTTGGGAGTGCCCATAACCCTAGTACTTATAAGTTAAATGATTTAGAACTTAGCCATACAGATTGCGAAAAGGACTTGGGGGTTATGGTGAGCAGCAACCTTAAACCAAGACAGCAATGCCTAAGCGTACGTAATAAGGCAAATAGATTACTGGGATTTATATCAAGAAGTGTAAGCAACAGAAGTCCAGAGGTCATACTGCAGCTTTATACATCATTAGTAAGGCCTCACCTAGATTATGCAGCTCAGTTCTGGTCTCCGTATTACAAAATGGACATAAATTCGTTAGAAAACATTCAGCGTAGGATGACTAAATTAATACATAGCATTAGAAATCTTCCTTATGAAGAAAGATTGAAGACTCTTAAGTTACATTCACTTGTTAGACGAAGAATGAGGGGAGACCTGATCGAAGTGTATAAGTGGAAGATAGGTATTAATAAAGGGGATATTAATAAGGTCTTGAGGATGTCTCTCCAAGAGAGAACCCGCAGTAATGGATTTAAATTAGATAAGTTAAGTTTAGATTTAGAAAGGACATAGGAAAGTATTGGTTTGGAAATAGGGTAGTTGATGAGTGGAACAGTCTACCTAGTTGGGTTATTGAGGCTGAGACTTTGGGTAGTTTCAAATCTAGGTTGGATAAGTACATGAGTGGGAGGGGTTGGATTTGAGTGGGACTTTCACATCAGAGCTTATTTCTTGGGTGGCATTGAAAATTGGGTTGGTCAAATGTTTGTTAGTGGGATGAATTGTAAAGGACCTGCCTATCATGGGCCAGCAGGCCTCCTGCAGTGTTCCTCCTTTATGTTCTTATGTTCATATATATATATATATATATATATATATATATATATATATATATATATATATATATATATATAAATATATATATATTATATATATATATATATATATATATATATATATATATATATATATATATATATTATATATATATATAAGAGAAGAGAATAAAGGTTCCTCGGGAAAAACTCAAGGTTCTCCCCGGAGCTGTTTGAATATTTTCTTCAACCAGCAATTATTACTACTCACAGGGAATCAAGAAACCTAAATGTTATTAAATTCTGTTGAAAATGTAGGAGAGGCGTAGCTACGGTAGAAACTTTGGACGTGCCAGAATCTCAAATAATTATTAAACAAAAAAACAATAATACAAGTTCTCAGGAAACGCAGTTTAGCACAACAACGAATAATCAGAAGTTGACCGACTCTCCGTACCAATGAAAAATTTCAAAAAACCAGTCGAGTGAACAATGGCATGTTAAACCTGGACACTAGAAATAAATATTACTAAAGCGATATCACGCAGGGAATGGATAATGGGAGGCTGTCAGTATTAACATGAAAAAGGCAGGGAAAGCTCCAATTCCTGGGGGCTAAAAGACACCTTGCTATTTAGGACACATCTCTTCTTTTCTGTCATTACATATATATATATATATATATATATATATATATATATATATATATATATATATATATATATATATATATATATATATATATATATATATATATAATGTATATAATTACCCTCCACTAACCTTTCTGAGGTCGAAGTTATCCTGGTTAGCAACTGAGGCACATTTGCCAGGTTTGACGAAATTTGGAATTCCGTCAGCTGAAACACAGGCCAGGAGAGCGGCAGTGAGGACTGTAGTGAACATGTTGGATGTTACACTTACTCTGAGGAAACCGGTCTCATGTTCTTCCTTATATATATTTCGTTTTTCATAAGAGAAAGTGCTAGATGTTGTTATTTCAGAGGGCGCGAGAAAAATTAAAGTATTCAAAAAATAACGTTGTTCTTCAATACGATGGTGTATTGTATGTTGATAAGAATGACATGATCACTTTAATATTCAAGTATTTTATTCAAATATTAAACAATAACTACTTTTGTAAGGGCAAAAACAACAGATAAATGCGAAAGAATGTTAAGAAATATCTGGAACTCTAGGTAGGTCGGTATGGACCTCTAGCATCGTGAGGTATAAATGATGTACCTGCTACTGATGTTGGTTAGTAGATACTTTTACCTGGTACTATGAAGTCACTGTCCATCCTGCTGGTCCTTGTGGCCGCCGTCGCTGCTGATAAGATCCCAGACTTCGTAGTCCCCGGCCAGTGTCCTGCTGTTGACGAGAACAAGCTGTGGTCCGAGCAAGTGCCAAACCATGCCAACGTAAGTTCTCTGAGATATATATTATATATATATATATATATATATATATATATATATATATATATATATATATATATATATATATATATATATATATATATATATATATATATATATATATATCTTATTGAAGACACTTCGCCATCCATCGACTTTTTCATTTTAATATAGAGATGATATACAAAGGCAGTAAAAGTTGAGGTAATCAGACCCTGAGCCGGTGTTCAGTACTTTAGTTTTGATGAATCTGAGACTAAGATTAACATCCGTAACACTGATTGCCTTATCTTCCAATGTCTTGTGTATAGTTCAGAAAGGCTTAGGGACTGATTATCTCAACTACTGTGTTCGCATATCATCTCTACATTAAACTGAATAAGCCAATGGTTTGCGAAGCCTCTCCAAATATAATTACCCAGGTGTTATGTGTGTGTGTAATTCCTCAACATTATTACTAGTAAGTTTATTCAGATATGCACACATTTACATAGATTATTATACATAGCAGCATATGTGCAGAGAGCCTGAGACAACCCAGAAAAGTCCGACAGAGTGACTTATTTCCATCGGAGTCCTATGTAGTTCTTAAAGATCATCATAAAGATTAATATTGGTACTGGGAAATTTTCATGTGGTGCAATCGCTGAAAAATAAGTTTTAAACTTATTATTTAACAATGTTTTATCATTTTTCTAAATATGTTCTTAAATATTTTTTATAAACAGAATTCTAATGTTTATTTTTCTTGCATTGCAGTATGCTGGTGTATGGTACCAGTTCGCACTTACTAACAACCCATATCAACTGATCAACAAATGTGTCCGCAACGAATATACCTTCGGTAAGTTTTCTGACCAGAAATCTTAAACACGGTGTTTAGGCACAAATTTACCTCAACATGGATCTGTAGGAAGTTATTTTCGGATAATGATAGCTATAATTTATTTTGACAGATGGAAAACAGTTTGATGTTGTGTCGACTGGTGTCGCTGCTGACGGCAGTTTGTTGAAGCGCAGCGGTCAGGTCTACGCTAACCCCCTGGGTGAACCTCACCTCTCCATTGACTTTGAGAACTGTAAGTTGTCGCAGATTCATGTAACTTAACCATGATAATTTTTTTAAAGGCTTCTTGGTACATGACAATACGCAGTATAATGCGATAACTGTTTAATACATAGATCACAAAGTTCGTTTGATTTGCCTCTATCGCTAAAGTTTTTGAAAAATTATTTTTTGTATTCCATAATTTTCTTCCTTCAGCTTTCGCGGCTCCCTACGTTATCCTGGATACTGACTACACTAACTTCGCCTGCGTATATTCCTGCATCAGCTACAACTTTGGTTATTACTCAGACTTTGCTTTCATCTTCACTCGCTCCCCAAGTCTGGCAGACAAGTTCGTGAAGCGCTGTGAAACTGCCTTCAAGAGCATCGATGTTGACACTTCCCGCTTCACCAAGACCGTTCAAGGATCCTCCTGTGATTATGATGACCAGAAATCTCTTTAAATGTTTTCATCCGGCGAATCTCGTTTCGTCTTGTAATGAATTTTTGTATGTCCAGAAATATAAATATTAACAATAAATGTTCTACGTGATATTATTAATAAAAGATTTAATTACAAGAATCTTTGAATGTTCGATAACGCATGTATATACACACACACACACACACATTATATATATATATATATATATATATATATATATATATATATATATATATATATATATATATATATATATATATATATATATATATATAGCAACAGATGAATTCCTTATAACGACTGATATGGATCCTGCAAATGAATCCATCATTTTTTTCAATTTTATATTTTGTTGCTGATGATGCTGTTAGATATGGTGAGGCACCTGTTCTCACATATGACCTGGTTCTTTCCTTTAAAACTCTAGGAATTTTTAACAATGAACCAGAAAGCAGCCAACTAAAGAAAGTTATAAAGAGGGACAGCAGACGATGATAAGCTTTCAAGGATGCACTGAATTTGTAATGACTAGCGCTGTGTTGGGAGAAATTTTTTAAATATACAATGGAAATGCTGTAAATCACATGGTGAAAGATAAAGCGATTGTAAGGGCCATACGTAGCCATCTGATAGTATATTTTGTGCCCAACACAATTCTATCAAGAAAAGCAATACGTATGTTCACAGAAAGTGGGAGGTAGTGACGATTTAACTGAAGTCCGTGTCCTTGTTTGATGGCTGCTAACTGTAGAAGTCTCTCCTGAAGATTTACCACCCCCCTCCCGAAGTTATTTAGTGAAAGACGTCCAAGCTTAACAATCTTAGATAAGTTGAAACATATATGACTGTAGTGTTATGGTTACGACTTATGCTCAGGCGGAAAATTCTGAGTAACTACATTAAGTCAGAACGAACTGGAAACTGATAATTTCATTTTACTCCCATTTTATGCTGTCACTGGTCACAGTCTATGCCATAAATGTGCTTACAGATGATAACTGAACTCGAAAGTACTGTTCCTGAAGTACATAATTCATTCCTCGGAGGACTACATGTTCTTCGAACAAGTAACAGATTTTGGGCAAGATCGTCGACAGACCTTGTAACATGTTGGTGACACATGGACACTTGCTGTAATTCATTAGATGAAGCTGCAACGCTAAAAACAACAATGCACATATCAGAGGCATAAAATGTTGTGCACGACCGCATGTACAAACTGCCCATTGATGTCAGTTGTTGTAATTCACCAGATTAATGAAACTTATCGTTTTCGTAATATACAAATTAGAATATATAGATTTTTGTACTAAAATGAAGTTATGATATATGTATATAGGTTTTAAAATTATAGTTGCATTTCCATTACTGTCAGAACCAAGTTATTTCTTAATTTTAAAATATAACTACGTTGTTTTTGACAATACTGACCTACTGGGATTTTTCACTGAATAACTTGAAAATTAATTATGTTAGAGTCAAGTATTATGGTTTATTGGAAACCTAACTCTCGTACCAAAATTTTTTGGTCTAAATATTTTTGTGAGAGAAAATCGTTTTAACACATGCGTGTAAAATAATCTTTAAACCCAACTGTTAAACTAATTTAAATTATGAAAAAGATACGTAGATCACTCATTCTAACCATTAGAAAAAAAAAAAATGTTCTCCGTGAGACGCATTGTGGGAAGGGGGGAGGCAAATTATCACGCGCCCCGGCCCAGTACACACTATTGTCACACAACCTGGCCCCAGTACACACTATTATCACACAACCTGGCCCCAGTACACACTATTATCACAGGACCTGGCTCCAGTACACACTATTATCACACAACCTGGCCCCAGTACACACTTATCACACGACCTGGCTCCAGTACACACTATTATCACACACCGCCCCATACACACTTTTACCCACGACACGGCCCCCAGTACACCTTTTATCACACGACCTGGCCCCAGTACACACTATTATCACACGACCTGGCCCAGACACACTATTTCACACGACCTGGCCCCAGTACACATTATCATACGACCTGGCCACAGTACACATCACACGACCCGGCCCCAGTACACACTATTGTCACACGACGTGGCCCCAGTACACACTATTATCACACGACCTGGCTCCACATACTGTTATCACACGACCCGGCCCCAGTACACACTATTATCACAACCTGGCCCCAGTACACACTATCACACGACCCGGCCCCAGTACACATCACACGACCCGGTCCCAGTACACACTTATCACACGACCTGGCCCCAGTACACATAATTATCACACGACCCAGCCTCAGTACACACTATCACACGACCTGGCCCCAGTACACACTATCACACGACCTAGCCCCAGTACACACTATTATCACACGACCTGGACCCAGTACACACTATTATCACACGACCCGACCCCAGTACACACTATTATCACACGACCTGGCTCCAGTACACACTATTATCACACGACCTGGCCCCAGTACACACTATCATACGACCTGGCCACAGTACACATCACACGACCCGGCCCCAGTACACACTATTATCACACAACCTGGCCCCAGTACACACTATTATCACACAACCTGGCCCCAGTACACACTTATCACACGACCTGGCTCCAGTACACACTATTATCACACGACCTGGCAACAGTACACACTATTATCACACGACATGGCCCCAGTACACACTATTATCACACGACCCGGCCCCAGTACACACTATTATCACACGACCTGGCCCCAGTACACACTATTATCACACGACCTGGCCCCAGTACACATTATTATCATACGACCTGGCCACAGTACACATCACACGACCCGGCCCCAGTACACACTATTGTCACACGACGTGGCCCCAATACACACTATTAAACGACCTGCTCAACCATGTTATCACACGACCCGGCCCCAGAACACAACTTTTATCACAACCTGCCCCAGTACACACTTCCACGACCCCCCTGTACAATCACACGACCCGTCCCAGTACACACTTATCACACGACCTGGCCCCATACACACATTATCACCGACCCGGGCCCCAGTCCCACACTAATATCCCACGACCTGGCCCCAGTACACACTATCACACGACCTAGCCCCAGTACGCACTATTATCACACGACCTGGCCCCAGTACACACTATTATCACACGACCCGACCCCAGTACACATTTATCACACGACCTGGCTCCAGTACACACTATTATTACACAATCTGGCCCCAGTACACACTATTATCACTTTATCACTCGACCCAGTCAGAGTACACACTTATCACACGACCAGGCCCCAGTACACACTGTTATCACACGACCAGGCCCCAGTACACACTGTTATCACACGACCTGGGCCTAGTACACACTATTATAACGCGACCTGGCCCCAGTACACACTATTATCATACGACCTGGCCACAGTACACATCACACGACCCGGCCCCAGTGCACACTATTGTCACACGA